AAAAGGAAATTTGAGGAATTGTCATTAAAAACTAATCAGCCATTTGTTCTGCTTCCGTAAATATACTTGCTGCATGCAAGAGCTCACTTGCTGTGCTCACCTGCACTTTGCTCAACCTAAGTAACAAATGTAACTGCTTGTACCCCTAGTAGCTCCTGCCTCTTGTAGCACTTTGTACCTTAGCAGCTCCCGCTTCCAGTAACAATTTGTAACCATCGGTAACCCATAACTCGAGCCCTTCTACCAATGTTACTACTTGCAACCATAGCAACTCCTGCCGTTTGTAATGGTCTGAGTTCAAATTAACCAATCAGCTTGTGTAAAATTCTGGTATATAAGGAATGTTGTAACTGTGCTCTTGGCCCAGATTTTCAGAGCACTAGCTCCTCTGGGACCACAAGTAATAAATGTGAGTTCTCCTTCTCTCTGAGTTACTGCTTGGTTTTTCGCTGGTCTGATTTTGGAGCTTTTCTACAAGAACACCAGATTTCTCACTGAAATACTCTGTGTATTTCCTAATAGTGCATGATGGCTTCCATGTCCCTTTAATATCACCAATATTATGTACTGTTAAAAGATCAATTAAGGCAGGTCCGTGGTGCTGTCTCACTGGTGCATCAGAGAAGCCAGCGAATCCCTCACTCTGTCGGAACTACAGTCCCCATCCTTCCACCAGCAAGGAGTATCTCATCGGCATCCAGGGCCCCGACTATGTCCTTGTCGCCTCTGACCAGGTGGCTGCTATCAATATTGTCCAGATGAAGGACAATCATGACATGATGTTTAAAACAAGTGAAAAAATCTTACTCCTATGTGTTGGAGAGGCTGGAAACACTGTACAGTTTGCAGAATATATTCAGAAAAACGTGCAACTTTATAAGATGAGAAATGGTTATGGATTGTCTCTTATAGCAGCAGCTAATTTCACACGCCAAAATCTGGCTGACTATCTTCGGAGTTGGACCCCATATCATGTCAACCTCCTCCTGGCTGGCTACAATGAGCATGAGGGTCCAGCGCTCTACTACATGGATTACCTGGCAGCCTTAGCCAAGGCCCCCTCTTGTAGCCCATGGCTATGGTAACTTCCTGACGCTCAGTATCCTGGATCAATACTACATACCAACTATCTCACATGAGAAGGCAGTGGAGGTGTTATGGAAAAGCTCCAAGATCAGACCAGCGGAAAACCAAGTAGTAACTTGGAGAGGAGAAATCAGGTTTATTACGTGCGGTCCCAGAGGAGCTAGTGCTCTGAAGATCTGGGCCCCAAGCTCAGTTGCAACATTCCTTATATACCAGAATTTTACACAAGCCGATTGGTTAGTTTGAACTCAGACCGTTACAAATGGCAGGAGTTGCTATGGCTGCAAATAGTAACACTGGTAGAAGGGCAGGAGTTGCCGATGGTTACAAATTGTTATAGTGAGAGCTGCTAAGGGGTACAGTTACATTCGTTGCTTAGACAAGTAGGACAGAATGCAAGTGAGCTCTTGCAACAAGCATATTTACAGAGGCAGAACAGAGCTGATTAGCCTCTTGGATGAGAATTCCTCAAAATTCTTCTTCAGAGCTTCTTAGGAAATGTCTAGATGAGCTCCAGAAACGCTTCATCCTGAATCTGCCAACCTTCAGTGTTCCAATCATCAACAAAAATGGCATCCATGACCTGGACATTTCTTTCTCTAAACAGGGTTCCTAACGTCATGCACTCTCACTTGCCAAGGAACTTTTTTTGATGGGCTCCCTTATTTTTTTCTACTCTTTCGACATGCACTCGATAGATGGTTAAGTCAGAATAAAGCTGAACATGGATAAGTTGAGAGAAAAAGATCAATTAAGAAACATTAGTGTTTTTTAGAGTTTATTTGGGCAAACATCAATTCAAATTAGGCAGTGTCAAACTAGAACTGGTTAGGAGTGATCCATCAACAAGAACTAGGGGCAAGGTTTTTATAGAAAAGATGAGGAAGCAAAGCAATGAAATTGATTATAGATTAAGCATTATTTGGGAAGCCCAGTTGGCTGTTTATGATTGGCTGTTTTACTTAACCTCAAGGCATTTACAGAGATTGACTTTGGTTTAGCTTTCATGACCAAAATTTGGTGTTAGCACCACTTAGTCACCATTAAGTTCAAGCTATTCTTGCCACATTATGAAACGTGTAGGTTTTGATATCAGATTTGTGGAATTGTTTCGGCTGTTCATTGTTCATTTTGTTTCTTTCTCCAAGCACAGTAAAAGTACATTTGATGTACTGCTGATGTCTGTAGACTTGTATTTAAGACCCTTGAGGGAACACAGTGAACCAGGGAGACCACAGGGATAGCAGAGAAAGATAATACCAAGAGATTGAAATATGCTCCTTAGCCAGGGTCCCCATGAAACAAACTAGTTCATATCTAATAAATGAAAAGAATGTACCTGAATAGGTATCAACTCATTTTCGCCAAGTGGCTTGTTCATTTTTTGTATTTACTATAGTACCAGAGGGTTTGATCCAGGTACAGCAGGAGGTATTTGCTATGGCACAGACTCCTACTTGTTCAACCAATAAGTACTTTAAAGCAATTATATTTCCTAAAACCACCTCAGCAAAAAAGTCTAGGGACTTTTGTTGTGTATCTATGGCCTTGGCATTAGATTCAGCAACAGTCACCAAGGTTAAAGAGCATTGTTTCCCCCATGCTTATCAGCGAGAAAAAGCAAGTAGCAAAAAGGCAAAAGGAATAAAAGGTTTCATATTGGAGATGAAGATCTCGATCAGTCACCTTGGGAGAGTCATGTCCCTCATGATGTCCTCTGCTTCTGGGCAGGAACCTCCCTATTCAATTTTAATTTTAGCTCTTCGGCGGCGTGCAGGTCAGAGCCTGCAGAAGCTCTTTTTAACTGAGAGATGTGGCCCCCAGGTTCAAGGCCCTGAAGTTTGGCCTGAGTCATAAGGAGGATCTGGTATGGTCCTTCAATGAGGTTCAAAGGCAGTCTTTCTTTTTAGATTCCAAGTCAGAAGAATGGGAGAAAATTGGAAAGATTAATTTGGAGAATTGTAGCCAGATATTTAGGAAACCCAGAAGAATTCAGGAGCCAGTCCAGTTTACAAGTAGATAAGAAAACCTCAAAGACCATGAATAGGACTAGAATCTGATATTCACAAGGGTATGTTATAGTACTTTTACTAAAACATAACTTTTCTCTTTACAATTACCCCCATGTTTAGCAAAGATAATCACAGGAAGACTAATTTGTTAGCAAAGTCAGTCTACTTGTATTAAACATGACTTGTTACCTTACCTAAGTGCAACAAGAATAGTGATTGACCACATAAGCTTCTTAAAAGTCTGCTTTGCTGAAACTTATCATAAAGAGTCTTATACTGGATTTTTAAAAGCCTCTTGAGGCTAGGAAGCCAAAGCAAGGACTTGTCAGATGTTGCCTGAAATACCTATATATTTGAGTGAATTCTTCATTTCTTGAAGTTCCAAAATATCTTGATGTTCCTGGGGCTGCCAGGAAGTCTGGAACCTGGTAAGCAAGATATCAGGGGCTTTACTGGCTCCATAAAATCAACCTTAGTATTTTAAAACTGTCTGGTGATATCTGATTTTATGCACCTCATTTTTAAATATGACATTCCAAAGCCTTGGTAACATAACCAAGGTAATATAATGTTTCCATTTCTGTTGTTACATGAAGAACAGATTTTTATTGAATTTATGCAAGCAACTGTAGTCCATAAAAATAAAAATACTTAAGAGTTTCACAATTCTGGAGAGATCAAATAAGGAGAAAAACATAATATTTTAATTGTTTACAAAGGTGTAATTTACTAAATTGCTATAAGGTGTATATAGCATAAGAGAAAAAAAGATTTCCTTAAATTTGGAAAATAAAACGTTAAAGAACTAGCATGTTTCAAACAAAAAGTCATAAAAATTATAATCATCTTTACTGATCCATTTAATCTCACGTTATTTTTTCTTGTTCTGCTTGAATCCAGCTTTTCCAATAGTTCTGGAAATTCATATCCAGCTTAGTTAGTGATCTAAAAGTTATGAGAAACCTGTATTCTAGAGTACTTATTGTGTCCTTTTCATAAATCTCTGAAGATGAAGCACTTTTGCAAAAACATCTGAGTAAAACAGTAACTGTAAATGACTAAAAGACTTTTTAAAATGGTTATCTGATAAAGAGTTCATCTCATAAGCTATTTAGTTCTTTTCCTGCCATACAATAATTAAACTGGACAATGAAAATATTGACAAATTTCTATGAACTTCAATTTTAAGATTACCTACATTAGCAACACTTACCCATACACATATAACTTAAGGTTTATCAATTTATGAAAATGCATCCCATGTAATTTAACATGCCAAATAAAGCTAGTTTCACGTTTTAGGCCCCCAATAAACATTCTAACCTTGTCTAAAATGCCTCCCCGAGAATCACATCTAATTCTTATTTCCTTGAGCCCCAACTCTCTTTCCTTCCTTCTCCATTATCTCTGAGATATAAATCGTAGCTCACAAAAATCTCTCCCCTCCAGGTTACATACCTGACATTCTCCCTCTAACTCTCTTCTCCTTTGTCACACTATTGATCCTATTGTCCAGCTAGGAGGAAGCGGGTGGACACCAGAAGCAAAGGTCCCTCAGCACTGGGGTCCTACTGCAAGGAAGAAAAAAGTTGGTCAGGCTTATGCCTGATAGATGACTGTAGGAGAGGAAATTCTCTGAAAAGATTTCCTGTTTCTTATGCCCTTGATGAATGAAAGATGGTCCAGAAGATAATTATGATAATTAAGGGCATACTTCTCCCCTTGTAATTAGATGGCAGTTGTGGGTAAACAGAACTAGTTGATAAGGAAATCAAATTAGTTTGACTCTATTACCTTGCAACAAACCGGATCACTGTGAATCCAAGCTACTAAGAATGCTTCTAACTGGGATTTTCAATCATTGCCACAGCCACAAAAGGTAAGTCTTCTGTACAGTAAATATTGAGGCAGTTCTTATTTATTTAGGCAGCAGGACGGAGCCAGTTAGTTCAGAAATGAAGTCAGTGTGCAGGGAAAAGTACATAAAGGTGGAACATGACTGCTGACTCCAGTACCTAGATATACACACACGCATGCGTGCACATGCACGCACATCCATGCACACTCACAAACGCAAATCATTTAGCTCTTTAAGGCTGAGATAACAGTAGTAAAACTCCCAGGAGTACAAGAAAAAAATATGAATGAGCTTTTGTATGTCATATCCTTTGACATCCATCTTTAAAAATTTGGTTCAGTGGTGGGAGAGGAGTTCATCCCCAGTTTAAGAATGGTTCAACTGTAGAGCTGAGTTTTTAAAAATTTATTTAACTAGAATATACAAATATTATTATCTATGTGCTAAAAGAAATAGATACCATACCCAATCTCAAAAAACATACAAGTTGTTATGAAAGTACACACATATTCATTAAGTTGAGAATAACTGACAAGGCAATTTAATAATAATTGCAAACTGTAGTGTAGGCTAATTCAAAGCACTGAGGTCAAATCAACAGAAGTTTAGGAAGAAGCAGCATTTGAAGAAAAAGATCTTTCGTAGATGAGCTGGATCTTAACAGTTCTGAGAAACAGAGAATTATAAACAGAAAAAAGAGTTTTCTATATAGGAAACACAAGTGATGAGGGTCTAGTTTAGAGTAGAAGTTTCAAAAGGGCAACTCCCAAGAGAAAGAAAAGAGAATCAGTCTTGGAGAATGACTTCATGTAAATGTCAAATGAAGGTGGAATAGAAATGACCTCTGTCCTTGAAAGGCATACAATCTGATTAGAGGATGCATAATTAAGAAATAGAAAAGATTTTAAAACAGAAAAAAAAGAGAGAATCTCTACACACACATGGCATGCGTAGTCCTTACTCCCCAATACTGGGGAAGGATTACTGTGATACTTCCACTGTCTCATCATAATGACCCAGCAGACAGCAGCTATGCAATGGCCGACTATGAGTGATAGTTCCAAAAGAAGGTCAGGGTAAACACCCTTCTTATAAAGAAAGCTTAATTCAAAGTTCCTTGCTCTCTGTTGTAGACAATCACCCTTATGAAATTGACCGAGCCAGACCTGAGTGCTTCTCTCCAGTGTGAGTTCGCTGGTGGTGATTAAAAGTGGAACGCTGACTGAAGGCTTTCCCACACTCGATACATTCATACGGTTTCTCACCAGTGTGAACTCTCTGGTGTACAGTGAGTTGTGAGCTGTCACTAAAGGCTTTCCCACAGTCGTTACATTTATAGGGTTTCTCTCCAGTATGGGTTCTCTGATGTACCATAAGGCTAGAATTATGACTGAAGACCTTCCCACACTCATTACATTCATAAGGTTTCTCACCAGTGTGAATTCTCTGGTGTATAATGAGGTGTGAGTTTTGATTAAAGGATTTTCCGCATTCGTTGCATTTATAGGGCTTTTCACCTGTGTGAAGTCTCTGATGTCGAATAAGACTTTTACTTAAACCAAATGCTTTCCCACATTCATTACATTCAAAAGGTTTTTCTCCAGTATGAATTCGTTCATGGTCCGCAAGCTGAGAGTTCTGATTAAAGGCTTTTCCACATTCCCTACATTTGTATGGTTTTTCCCCAGTATGAAGGCGCTGATGTCGAATAAGACTTTTATTCCGACTGAAGGCCTTGCCACATTCAATACATTCATAAGGCTTCTCCCCAGTGTGGATTCTCTGATGGTCAATAAGATTTCTATTAGAACAGAAAGCTTTCCCACACTCATTACACTTGTAGGGTTTCTTACCAGTGTGAAGTACCTGATGTCGGACAAGATTTTTATTCCGAGTAAAGGCTGCTCCACATTCATTGCATTCATAAGGCTTCTCCCCAGTGTGAGTCCTCTGGTGGTCATAGAGTTTAGAACTCTCATTGAAAGCTTTTCCACATTCACTGCATTTATAGGGTTTCTCCCCATTATGAAGTCTCTGGTGTTGAATGAGATGGGAGCTGTGCCGGTAGGTCTTCCCACACTTGCTGCATTCATAGGGCTTTTCCCCCGTGTGGATTCTGAGATGAACTATGAGCTGAGAGGTCTGCCTGAAGGTCTTACCACACTCATTACACTCATAGGGTTTCTCTCCAGTGTGGATTCTCTGATGGCCAATGAGGTGTGAGCTCCGATTAAAAGCTTTGCCACACTCATCACACTGATAGAATTTCTGTGCCTTCAGAACTCCTTGATGCTCAGCAGGACTGGCGGATAGATTTGGAAGTTCCCCAAGTTCCTTATAATCACATCCACCTTTCGTGGATTTGTTTTTATCCTCACGTGTTATTTCCAAGAAATCATTTTCTAGTTGGTTCCCTTCTTCACCTGAGGGTTGCATTTCTAGCTTCTCCAAAGCAACTTCACAGGCATCTCCAGCCTCTTGGCCCCCTGGAACCACCCCGTAGAGGCCTCCTGATGTCCCATCAGATGATTCTGATCCTTTAGAAATTTCCTGCTTCAGAGGCAACTCTGAATTCTCCATCCTAATGTCCCCTGCTGCCGAGAGAAAGAAGAAAACAGCTTTTACTCATTTCTTATCCTATTTTGGAAACAGAATCATCAGGATTCTATGTGCCAGAAAAATCTTCACATTATGGGTAAGGAATAAGGTATCCATTGAGAATCGGAGAGAGAATGAGAAATAGCTCAAATTTTTCTTCATGGACGGAAAGCTGAAGAGGGGTAAGATGGTCAGTGGAAGAGGGTGGACAAAAAGAGATGCTGATCTAGTACAGCCAAATGAGAAGGGTAAGTAGAAGGCAAGTGTTTGAAGTCTTTGAGAGGACATGACTGCCAGTTGACTTATGCAATCCGAGGCTCCTTACCCTCTCCCCTTTCACTGGAATGGTCATTTGTTTGGCTTCACCATGCTAGAAGTACCCAAGGACATACCTTTAAGATAGTAATGTTATGTTGAAACATCTGGACAGTATACATGTCTGAGCCTCGTTAAGGCCTCTACATAAACCTTTAAGATCCTGGTGGGCAGGAGATCTACTCGCCCAAGTCAAGGTTCATATGTTAAGTACACTCGCTTATTATATCTGCCACCTACCATGTGGGTTGGTCTGCCTCTTTCTTCAGTCTCTCCTTGATCTCTGTGTATAGAGCCCAACTTCAGATTTCACCCAGGAAGTTCCCGAGGTTGTGAACCAACCAACAGACTAGATTGTAAAGAATGGTATGAATTACAGAAGTCACTTGGATGTTCTGTCTCCTTAGTAAAATGATGGTCCTTTACAACTATGACACTGTATGGTCCTTTACAACTATGACACTGTATGGTTCCATGATTCTTAATAAAGGTGTTAGGGAGAGTGATGGTGAGTACCTCAAAACAAATATGACAAACAGTATGGGCAAAAAGGACCCAAAAAATCCCGAATGACAATAAGTGATTCTGGCACAACTGGAGAAGGCCAACAGTTTGAAAACTTATAGGTTCAGAAATACTGGGATAAAGTATTGAGGGGGAGAGCAGAGCTTTAAAAGTGTGGATACTCCACTGCCTGGAGCACTGCATTGGCAGGAACCAGTACTACATTCCTAGGCAAAAATCAGAAGGATATCAAACATTTGAAATATAAATCAAAATATGTCTTTGATAGCTTGACGAGCTGGAATAATATGAGACTGAACAGCTGAATACTTGCTTTTCAATTCCTAAATTTCTTAATACAAAAGCTGGGAGAAGGTAAAGCAATCACAGTCATAGCTAAATACACAAATTTTGGTTCCTTTCATCATAAACAAAGCCACAAGCCTTCATACCATTTTAGCATATAGAAAATTAAAGACATGTGGTTCATTGACTGATATGTAATGACTCCTAAGCCCACCCTCTCCAGGTTGGCTACTGTCCTAGACTTGTCTACCAGAGAATCTGCCCCAGAAACATCCCTTTCCAGGATACTGTCAGGCCCCAGCTTTTGCTCAGAGGGAAGCTGAGGCAAACCATGCTTTGTGCCAAGTAACCCAGCTCATCCCAACGTGGACCACAGGTGACTGGACCAGGGCCAGGCACTACGCCCACATTTAGCTTTTCTGTAGATTAGTCATCGGCCTCTGCTGTGGCCCGGGCCCAAGTTCTGCCCAAACAGAGATGATATTTAAAGGCTGAAGCACCCTTGCAGCCCCTCTCTGAGTACACTCTGAACTGGAAGTAGGGCAAAACAAAGGAAATTATCCTACGGTCAGAGCTCGAGCAGAAATAATGCATGGAGAGAAGCCAAACCATCAGGAGCCACAGCAAGCAGAAGGTGCAAGTGAACAGAAAGTCCAATTAAGAAGGAGTTATGAGGGAAATGAAAGATTCAGAGTGAAGAGAACGGGCAGCAGTGGGAGGAGAAAACAGATATGCAGAGAGCAGCTGTGTTACATTCCCAGTAAAACAGGGCGGAAAAATTCATTTACTTTTGTTGCCAAGGCTCCCGGGCCCCGCGGTTTCAGGGACGCCTTGCTTCTTGAAGTCTGGTGTAGCTGCTCGGTTTATACGGGGTTCCCAGTGCTGTAGCCTTACTGTGAGTCACAGCTCAGCCCTCAAAATACCTTGAGTGGCTTTCTGTTCCTCACAACTACAGACTCTAACTAATAGCCAGCCTAGCTCAATCCATGATGAAGTAGAGAGAAGCCTGATAACTGTTAAAGCTGGGTGATGGGCAAGACAGGTTCGTTATACTGTTCTCTCCCCTTTGTCTACATTCGCAATTTTTCGTGATGAAAAGTTATGAAGAAAAGGAATATAGCAAAGAAACCGTGAAGGAGGCAGAGCTAAGGGACTGGGGCACGGAACCATTACCCCATGAGGCCACGCTGCGGTGCGTTTCTGGCATGACGTTCCGACGCCGGGCTCTCTGACTCAGTGCCGGACCTTTCCACTTCCTCTCGGAGTAGTCCACAGACAGGAACTCGTACGCTGCAGACCCCTGGAATGACAAGCTCCTGTTGCTCAGTGACATTCCCTGCCTGGAAGGGCAGCGTCATCAGAGAGCACAGGGTAAGGGCCCTAACGGGAAAAAGGCTGGGGAGGGAGAGACTGGGATGATACATCTAAAAGGACGAGTCTGGGGCAAGAGAGTCCATGAACTCAGCAGGTGGGACCAGCCCCAGGAAAACACTCAGGCGGGGAAGCCACAGGGACAGTCTCAGAACGGGCCAGAGGCCGGCAGATGCGCTCTAGCTATTCCTGGGCCACGGACTCGGATCTTGGCAAAGACAGAAAAAACCAAACTCACCTGGGGCCTGACCGCCTGAAGCACCGTTGCCGCCACTTGGTCTCTTGAGATCCCTGCCTGGCAAAGGGCAGGCACCGGGGAAGCGCGTCGAGCTGGGGTAGGAGAGAAAGCTATGAGTGGGACGAGCCCAGCCCTTGGCTCCAGTGAGGTCTGTATCCCAGGGGGTGGATTCACGAGAACCCAGGCAGCTCCACACACACTGGCTCTCGCCCCTCTTGCACACCACACAGGTGTTATCCTAAGCATGCTGTGACTTTTCCATGGAGGACAGCATAGAAGGTCCCCAGTTAAAGTGAAAACTGGCATCTCCAACCCCTCTGAAGGAAGCCGTACTTCAGCCCACTCTCTCTCCCACGGCTTCCCTAGCACTAGCTTCACCTGTTTCCTCTCAGATCGCCGGCCTCTCATTCCCTGGTTTCTCTTCCTTCCCTTGCCCTCCTTTTGGACACCCCAGGCACTCAGGCCTCAGCTTGTCCTAGTGTTCTCTGTCAGAGATCTCACTGACTCGCACTGCTCTGATGCTATGCCCACAGTTCTTAGTTGCCTTCTCCACCCCTATCACAAGCTGCTAGTTGCCTACTGGATATTTCACCTGCTGGTCCACATGAAGATAAATTCAGTTTCAAAAATGCACGTTCTTATCGTCTTATTTTCCTATATTCCCATGTTCTTTCAATGATATTAGACATTAGGCAAACCTCTAATTTCCTATTTCCTTTCTTGAAGCCCACATCCAATAGATATTCTTTAAACTGATCTTCAGATTCAATACAATCACTATCAGAATCCCCCTGACTTCCAGGTACAAACTGACACGTTGATATTAAAACTCAATACAGAACTCAAGAGTTCCAGCAGAGACAAATGGATCTTGAAATAGAGTAAGTTGGATAATTCCCACTTCCCAATTTTACAAAGCACAGTCATCCAAACAGTGTGGTCCTGGCATAAGAACAGATATATAGATCAACAAAATAAAGGTCCAAAAATAATTCCCTACATCTATAGTCAAGTGAGTTTTGATGATGTTCCCAAGAGCATTTAAAGGGGAAAGAATACACCTTTCAGCAAATGGTGCTGGAAAAACTGGATGTCAAAAACTAAAGAATGAAGCTGGACCACTACCTCAAACTATATATGAAAATTATATGGACAGCAGGATTTTACACCTATAGCAAAGGGGCCCCATTACTCTGTGCACCAAGGCAAGGCTGACGGTCATCTCCCCTGAAACCATGGCAGCTTCCACCCCTGACCACTGTAAGACACTCATGATACTACCTGTATAACAAAAGCCATTCTCTCTCACATTAGTTATAAAACAACACCTGTTCAACATCTCAGGGACTCAGCAAGTGCTGCCAGGGCGTACGAGGAAGACATGATCATAACTGAGATGGCATGAACACTCACGCCAGAGCATGCCGTCACCCAGCTCCAGGAAGAAACCTCAACCCAGCTCCAGGGCACGGGGGTCAGGCAAAGAACTACATACACCAAGGGTCAGGAGCACGGAGGAGGCTGCCGAGTTAAGCAGAGAAATGAAGCCTCACTCCGAAGAAAGGGGGCGAGGTAAGAAGATGTTGTCAAAGAAAACAAAAGCAAAGGAAAAAGAGAGGAGTGATAATAACTGAAGGCCTATGAAAACAGACTGGAAGACACGCCACGACAACAGAAGGCAGAAGGGGGAACGGTGCCTCAGGAGCCAGAGCGGCAGGCTCCAGCCTCGCTGAGCTCCCGCAGCACAAACAGGAAGCTGCTCAGGAGGGAGCTGAAAGGCACAGAGAGGGACAGAAGCTTTCCCAGCCACCTCGCAGAACAGACTGCAGAAGAGGTAGGAAACTAAAGTATGAAAAGGACTAGCGAGCTGCTAAGGGTGAAGAGAAATCTGGCACTGAAGCCAAAGACAATGAACTTGAGGCCAGACAAGTATTCTGAAAAAATGCACTCGGCGGGAAATACACATGGCAATGCCCTATCTCAGGATCCGGAGACCCACAGCGAAATCGGCACCAAAAATAAGCCTCCAAGCCGGCCTGTTCCGAAGCAGCTGCGCAGAAATGTCCTAAGAGGTCAGTGAAGTATTTGGAAAGACGTGACGAGAAGACTGACAAACAGGAACCGCGGTGACCGCCTGGGAATGTGGCAAAGGATTCCAGGTCTTCGGTCAAAGAAAGAGTGAGCCCAGCCTCTGCAACCACGAACACGGAAAAGCTAAAGTCCTCCGGGCTTGCTAACTCTCACTGAAAGACTGGAGCCAAGGAAAGGGGTGGGGGCCAGAGAGCTCAACCCGCCCAGTTACAGTCAGGTACCCTAAAGCCAAGTCCCACCTAGCCATTGAGGACAGAAGCTCCATTCATCAACTATTCAGATTCTACCACAGACGTGGGCCCACGGCCTAGGAAGCAACCTGACCTGGATCAGGCCTCTGCTTCATACCTTAACCCGCTCTCATTCCCACAATGAAAGTGCCTTTGAAAACAACTGGGAAAATCCCAACCAATCGTCGACATTTTTCAAGGACTTCTTCTTCTTTCTGTTATTTTGCTCCTTCATTCATATGCAACGTAATTTTGTTTGTTTGTTTTTCCTTTTAAAATTCTCATTTAGTAGTCCCTATTCTCTGGCTTTTCCTACCAGTGTGAGGGTACATAGGTTTATTTTATACACTGATAATAAGCAACTAAGAAAGACTGCTTCCAGTTCGTATTTAAAATGTTGAAAGAATACTTACACAAATACATCAAGAAAGAAGCTCCAATCTGGTGCCCAAAAAAACTTGACTTCCACATACCATTTCCCAATAAAAGAACCGGAAGGGGTCTTTGGAGAGGTGCCGGATTCCAGGGCTGGGAGAGGGAAGATACAAGATGAGTATTCTACGCTGCCAGAAAGTCAGAAACGGCACAAAAAAAGATGGCGCACCGCAAGGGGAAACAGGAGCCAACCTGGAAGAGCTCCCGATGGCCAAAGCTAAAATGACTTAAGCAACAAAGTAAACAACAGCACTGCACCAGAGGCCAAAGAGTAACTGACACATCCAACATCACACACTGATGTAAATAATCGAATAAATAAACAAGAGGGAAAAAGCACAACTCTTCCTCACAAAGAATTCCACTTAATAAATGTGGAAATGAAGAGAAAAGGAAAAAGAGATACAGAAATGAAATACGCCATTAGAACATTATAGCAATAGCTGCTGCAGGCAGGACCCACCAAGGAATGCTAATTGGTGAGTGACAATTAACGAGAAACAGGGCATTTCTAAGCAAAGTCTCAAAGTACCTTCCCCCAAATACTTACGAATTACACGGGAAACACACTAGTTTACACTGGTCAAACTCGGTAGACACCCCAAAATCAAGATTAATATCACCAGTAATAAGATGTATCGACATCATCCTCAATCTAAGCAGAGAAAACATATAAAAAAGCCAACGTGAAAGTCATTCTCAAAATGCAAATACAAAAGACTTTAAAAGTGTCAAGGTCGTTAAAAAATAAGATAAAAAAAGACTTAGGAAAGGCCACAGGATGAAGGAGAAAAAGGAACATGACAACTAAATAAATGCAGAATTCTACACTGGATCTTGGGACACAAAAAGGTCAACAGTCAGAAACTGATGGACTCTGATTAAAGTCAGCAGATAATTACCATATTGTACCACTGGAAATTTCTTAAGTTGGATGATTGTACTACGGTTATGCAAGATATTAACTTTAGGCAATAGAGAACTCTGTACAATTCTGCAACCCTAAGTCTACAAGCATTCAAAAGGAAAGGTTTTAAATGGAAGTACTCCTGAGTTGTTACCATTTTGGGTTTTTTTTTCCAATTTATTTCTATCTTAGGTATTTAGGATTAACTCTGCAAGGATGTCAAATAGTCAATTCTTATCGCCATTGGGAGTCATTCCTCCATTCATTTAACAGATATTTAATGAACAACCACTATCTCCCAAGCACTAAGATCACAGCAGTGAATACAGCAGACAAAAAACACTGCCTTGAAGACCTTATACGAAGAGAATGAAATAAATAAAACACGTAGGTGACAGATGCTATTTATGTAG